GTACGTTACATAATTACACAAGTTGAATATATCACAGATCCTGTATATCATTTAACACTTACAATTTATAACATTTACAGCAAAGCACAGTTTATATATTGTGGCCAACTGACCTATACTATTTTAATATTTATAAATATTAATAATTAAATTAATAACATAAGATTTGTATAGGGCTCGCTCATATTCAAATTTAAAGAGCAACAATCTATATACCCTAGACGGATTTAAATTACATTTTGATATACGTATTTAATTAATTTTTGCTGGGCAAAAATAATAGGAGCTACTTAAGGATTGCCTAATTAAAGAATGCTTGCCATCGAGGGGCTCTCTCGGTCTATCGGCGAGGATTAAAGAACTGCTTAAAAATAGTAAATTATTACAGTATTATTTAATACAGTAATATGAAATTGGATATAAAGTAGTGAAATCATTAAAAAAAATCTATAAATAGTTACATGAAATTCGACTGCTAAAAAGATTAAATGAAATTAAACTATACAGGAGGCCGCTAACTGTATTATATAATATTATACACAGGAACGCACATCACGTTAGACACAGAACGCGCATCGCGTATGACACAAAATGGCTTCTAAATTCTCAATGTCGCAACTCTTTCTATCTATGGCTCTGAACAATATAATCTCTATCGCCTCCCAGATTTGGCAATAATCTCTTGAATATTTAGTAGGATTTTCCTGCTGATATGTCCAGGGTGACACTGTGCGATATTCAAGTCAAAGCAGATTAGATAGTACTTAATTGCTTTTGCCATTGCCAAAATTAGTCTTACTAGGGTCTATTCTAAATATTTTAGGCCCGTTTTATTAGGGAGGACTATTTTTAGTCATGCCTAACTAGTCGACGCGAGTGACTCGGTTTCGTGGCTCCAAAAATACGCACATTTGATTGGTTGAAATTCTTTATTTCGGTCCGCCTATTTATCCTAATACGGAATATAAGATTAGTCATACTTTTGGCATCCTGGTGCCTGCATTCAGTGTTTTACAAGTCGCTTATTCCGTCTCTAAATTAACTTTCTCGTTGGTAGCGCTGTCCAGAATGAGAAAAATAATTTAAAAAACTAGAAATTGCAAATTGCAAGTGAAGTGCTGCGAAGTACAACTGCATATAAATGTTCTTCGAACAAAATTATTTATGCGAGTCAAGTGAAAATAATGAATAATAAAACTATAACAAGTAATATGAGCACGACCTATAACAAATAATATGAGACACGACCCATTGTCTATATTAGAACACTTCTCATTGGGTAACAAAGTCGTAATTTTTCATTTTTGTCAAAAAGTGTCTAGTGTGGTGAATTATGGTTTAGTTTTTTTTTAATAAAGTTTCAAAAATGTCTATGTATGTGGAAAATGTAGTTGATTACCAAAGGTTACAAATTTACAAGGGCGGGTTTTCTAGGGGCGAGTTGACTGCCAAAGAGTGTTGCCAAAGTGCGAGCCAGCGTGTTATTTGATCACAAGTGCGAGACATAATCACAAGTGTGAGCCAGCGAGCCATGACGTCACGACAATAGATAGAGACGTTAGCCAGTTGTGCGAGGTATCGGCTGAGATTTGTGGAGTACAATTCAAAAAACAACTATAGGTCTAATAATAATGAATTATTGTGATGTTAAATAGACAATGTAAGCTATCAAAGAGCGACGTTGTTTTTCATTGGGACCTTCGTCTTCAAGGCTAGGCCTATACCATCCTAGCTAGTCTAGGCCTAGAGTAGGATAAGGCTAGCGCGACATGCGGACGTTGGTACGAGTTGGTTAGTCTACAAACGTCGCCTAAAGTAATTGATTTTACCCGGCAAAACGACAGAAGGAAACTCCGCTTTTCAGTCGTCTTCGGCAGTCGTTTTTTGACAAACTATGACCTTTCAGAGGTCAAATTGCTGTCAAGAATATGAATTGGCT